GCCCGTGCAAAACCCCCAGGGCACTCTGCCCCCCAAGGCACACTTGGTGGTGGAGAAGCCCCTCGTGTCCCCACCGCCCACCGACCTCCAAAGCCACTTGGGTACAGAGGTGATGGTAGAGACCACAGACAACTTCCAAGAAGTCCTCTCCCTGACAGAAAGCCCGGTCCCCCAGCGGTCGGAGAAATTCGGGAAGAAAAACCGGAAGCGCCTGGACAGCCGAGCAGAGGAAGGAAATGTTCAGGCCATTACAGAGGGCAAAGTGAAGAAGGAGGCAAGGACTTTGAGTGACTTTAATTCCCTGATCTCCAGCCCTCGCCTGGGGAGAGAGAAGAAGAAAGTGAAGAGTCAGAAAGACCAACTGAAGTCGAAGAAGTTGAATAAGACGAATGAGTTCCAGGACAGCTCAGAGAGCGAGCCTGAGCTGTTCATCAGTGGTGATGAGCTGATGAACCAGACCCAGGGCAGCAAGAAGGGCTGGAAGAGCAAGAGGAGTCTGCGGACGGCCAGCGAGCTGGAGGAGTTCAAGTGCCGGAAAGCCAGCGAGAAGGAGGATGGCCGGCTGGGCAGCCAGGGCTTTGTGTACGTCATGGCCAACAAGCAGCCTCTGTGGAACGAAGCCACCCAAGTGTACCAGCTGGACTTTGGGGGGCGCGTGACCCAGGAGTCCGCAAAGAACTTCCAAATCGAGCTAGAGGGGCGGCAGGTAAGAAAGCATGTCCCAGGGCATGGCCCAGATTCCTGCTTTTTGGTCTTGACTGGTCTCTGTGGGTTTTTAAAAACCTGCTAAAGGATAGCAGTGTTTTGGCCTGCCAGGAGCCAAATGGGAAATAACGGAAAACAACTGATCCCTCTTAAGCGTGGCCAAGTCTCCGTGACCCATGAGAAAAACTAGCAGGCCCCTGCCCAGCCCCTTGCCCGCTCCCCAAACCTGCTCTGCCAGAGATACTTTCTTTCTTCCAACTTTGGCTTTTTTCTGGCATTTGACACTGTGTTTGCAAAGAACGTGTTCCCATTTCTATTTATTGACTTTTCAGTTTTTCACATCGTGTATTGACCTCTTCCTGAGGAATATGAGGGTTTATTTTCTTCACCCCCACTGCCATATGTACAGACACGTGAACTTCCCCCTTTTCTTAGTTCAATCAGCAGTCATTGGTTATCTCATTATGCCAATATATGTGGTTTATAGCTGAGCCATGTATTATGGCTTAACTGTATTTCCTTTTTTATTACATAGGGATTTTTTCCTAGACCAAATAATTACCCAGTGTTTGTTTATTTCTGTGTATTTATAGTACATCATTCCCTGATTCGGTGGCAGAATGTAAATCTCTTCTCACTACAGTTAAACACATCGGGTGGTTTTTCAGTTCCTCTGCTCCAGCCTGAAATGGTGGCTCTAACCCTGCTGCATAGCTGTTGTTCTGGAACTGCACTTCCTCACCATCCTGGGAGTTCCCTTCACCTCTCATACTTAAATCTCATTTTCATTAATTCACTCAAATATTTATTGAGCCACCTGCTGTGTGCCTGGCAATCCTCTGAGCTGGGAGTCAGAAACTGTGGCCCACAGACCAATTGGACCTGCTGCCTCTTTTTATAAATAAAGTTCCATTGGAACACAGCCATGCCCACCCACTTAAGTATTGTCTAAGGCTGCTTTTGTCCCACAACAGAGAGTTCTGGCAAAGACCCTGTGACCTACAAGGCCTGAAGTATTTATCATCAGCCCTTTACAGAGAGTTTGCCAACGTTGCTCTAAGTGCTGAAACCAGAGCAATGAGGAAAATAGAGAAAATCCCCGTCCTCACATGGAGTTTACCAAAATGGAAGAAAGACCGTAAACAAATGTACTTAAATATTTATATAAGTATTTATATTTATATAATATTTATACATAATTTATGTGTGATATATAATATAATCCTTATAAATATAATATTTATGTAAATATCTGTATATGTATGTAAAAAGCTATATAGTCACAGCGTGTGATCACAGTAAGTACTGAAATGACAAAGGAAAGCGAGCTTGAGAGACAGAGCATTGCGGGAAGGCGGTGGGCTATGTTTGCCCCTCTCTGACCCGTGACATTTGATAATTACAATTGATGTTTCTCTCAACCTTCTGTTAGCCTGTAGATTCTTCTTCATACTTTTTCTTTCCCCTGTTTCCTTGGTGAGGAAGCCACTTCATTTGACCAGTGAGCTTTCCAGGCTCTGAATTTTTGCTTCATTATCTTCCCATTGTGTGTTTACCAGGTTCCCCCTTTGTTTCCGACAAACCCATAGTTAGCTCAGGAAGTTTGATCAGAGTCCCTGTCTGGGGGGACTGTCTCCTGGACTGCGCTGTCGTCTTCCCTCAGGAGCCACACAGGCGGTTGTGCTATTTCCCACCTTGTTTTCCTTTAATGTCTTTGCTTCTCTGCCCACCTCCCTCCCACCCCCCAGGTGATGCAGTTTGGAAGGATTGATGGCAATGCGTACATTCTGGACTTCCAGTACCCCTTCTCAGCTGTGCAGGCCTTTGCGGTTGCCCTGGCCAACGTGACTCAGCGCCTGAAATGAAGAGGCTGCTACGGGTGGGAAAGAGAGGCAGAGGAGCCTTTTCAGAGAGGTCTGATCGGCAGTGCTCGAGGAGTCCCACGGGGCCCCGGGTGCCTGGGGACCAGAAGACAAGAGCAAAACTGGAAGAATCTGTCAGGCCCAGGAGAGGGGACTGACCTCTAATTGTTGTTGTTTGTTTGGGCTTTTATAATCCTTTATTGTTTTTCTTTCTTCTTTCTTTTTAAACAAGAAGAGAATACAGAAGAGTGGTATCTGGAAGCAAAGCGTGCGAGGCACCTGGTGTTCTTTTCGGAAACGTAGTTGCCGTGGTAATGTCCTACTGTGTCTGCTTCTGTCACCTGCCAGGACAAGGGGCCCTTCGGAAGGAAGGTAGACTGCCTTCCCGCCTGCTGTTCTTCTAGACTAGGGAGTGTGCATTATTTTCGTTCTCCACAACACCTAGCTTTATTACTCCTCCCTATTGTAACCACTAGTGTGAAAACAAAAGACTTTTAAAAAGAACAACCCCAAATCCGGAAGGTACAGGTTCTCTTAGGGGGCCATTCAGATCACGCATACAATGTTACTCCCCCAGAAGTGACTTGATCAATGAAGGGTGTTATGGCAAATGCACTGTGTTTGACGAATAGCAGTAGCCTTTGTCCAGCGGTGCTCTTACCAGCTCTAAATACAATTCGCTCATGATGATGTAGGAGGAAGGGACGGCAGGTGAAGAAGGAGCTTCTGCGCATGGACACCTGGGTGGTTTACACGGTGGGACTTGAAGCAGTACAAGGGCTGTGCTCCTCTCTGCACGATGTTTACGTTGAAGACTCTGCTAGTTGTATAACGTGTCAGAATTCCATGGGTTCTGTAACAATCATTCAGTGTGCTTGCCTTCGGGAGAAGGTAAAAGACCAAATGGAAAGATCTGGCACATGGTGGGGAAGCAACTTTGTCACCTAGTGCACTGGTAAGTCACTAGATACCCACTTACTGAAAAACAACCTTCATCCCCTCCCCCATTTTATTGTTTAATCTAGAAAATGTGGCAGACGGCCTTCTCTTTCCCAGTAGATAAGTGTTCCACACTTTCTCATCTGAAAAATGCTGATGATACTCATTTGAAAGCACTCCTTTCCTCTTCTTGGCCACATTAAAGTTCACTTGACTAGAAATATTTTCTAATGGTTTAGAAATGTAACAAAATTTTAAGCAATCGACAGGGTATTGAAAGATAGAGGTATGGTCATCTCTTTGAAAAAAGTAACTAGGAGGAGGGAAAAAAGTTCTTTATTAACTGAATAGACTGTTTACTGAGGAGATAAACCACTGGGAACACATTATTAAAATTATAGTACTTAAGAGAGCTGGTTGATCTCACACACACACACACACACATACACACACACACACACACACACACACACACCCTGGAATATCTTTTCTTGCCTCCTCCTCCTTAGGGGACACTTTGGGCAGCCTTCAGCCCTGATGATAACAAAGCCCAGTTTGTTGTTGTCAATCACTCGTACCTGTGATGTTGTTTAGGGCAGGAGCACAAGAGCTATGTACTGGCACAGGGCCCTCAATTTGGGTTTTGTTTGGAACAGACAAATGGAAGACACCACAGAAAAGTCTTTTGAAAGTAATGCATTTTTACATTCCTTGTTTTGGTTTAAAAACTAGAAAAGAAACTGGCCCATTCCTTCCCCAGAGCAAGACGAAATCACTCACCATTTTCTCCAGACCTTGAAGGAGCACAGATGAGGACATCTCCCAGCCAACATCAGAGTTTTCCATCTTATATTTTAAAATATTGAGCCTGATTCTTGGTGGGTAAATTCTTGCAGAAAGAATTTAGCAACGTATTCAAAATTATATAATTCTTTTATAGGTGTTTCTATAGCTTGGTAAGATGTTTCAGTGTTTATATTAGTTGTGCAATAATGGTTATGGCCTATTTCTAAAATAATTTAAATGCAGTTCCCCTGTTTTGTTGTCCAAGAGATAATTATTTATCTTGCTTTAATGGTGTTCTTAGGAATTATTTTGTGGCTATGTACTGGTGAGTTATGCCCATTTTATTTATTTAGAAAAATAGTATGTTTGTAATGAGTTATTTGGTAGCAGTACATTTTGCTGCAAGAAATAAAGAGGATATGATAGAAGGGTTTTTTGCTGGACAATTTGTAACTTTTTCTAATTGGGAAAAAATTCCTATTCTTTAGAAGTAATTTTTTTTTTCCATCCTGTGGTATTGATTATATACAGAGGAGTAGATTTCTTTAAGATGCCATATCCTAAAATAATATCATCCCTTCTTTTGAACGCTTTTAATTAAAAATAAAAGGTGCTATGAAATGAAAAGAGGAGACTAATTAGAAGAGTAGCAGAGGAAGGCATTATTGTCACTAAGTGTCCACTTTCCAGATTCTGATTGGTTTTTTGAGATACAAAGACCAAGAAAAGATATATTTCAGAACTTTTCTTACTAAAAGCAATTATAAGGGGAAGTCCTTGGAATAAAAATACAAAGATATTTGTGAAGAGGAAGTGAATATTTGTAGCAAATAATTGAACTTTCTAAATTCTTGACTCACTCCCCAAAAGGTCTCTTCTGCACATGGAGACACAGGCCTTGTCTTGTGGGTTTAGCATACCCAGGATTCAGCCCCTGAAGATGTAGCAGGGGTCTGGCTCTGTGCTCTGGCCCAGAGGAGGAACCCTGTCCTGTCAGCCACGCTTATGCAGACGTCTGCAGCATGGGGAAAGTTAAGTCTTTCAGGTTAATGGTGATGGTTTCACTGATTGTAAAAATTGTTTTCATTCAGTCTCAATTTATTAAATACTACTAAAGTCAGTACTTTAAATGGAATTCTACCTACATACTTCGTGCTTATTAATATAGCAATTTATTAATATTAAGTTACCTCATTGAGTCTCTAAATTTAAAAACATTAGCCCAGGCAACTGTATGAAGAATCCATGCCTTTTCCAGGAAAGGAGTGTATTAAGAGACCTAAAAACCGATTTTAAATTTGTTCTGCCTCTAACCTTATCAAACCAAAGGCACAGATTTGGGTACAGTGTATCCACTGAATGTATATTCCAAGAAAAGTTGGTGCCAAGGAAGCAGGAAAATGTGAAGGCTCTAATGGCAGCAGAAGTCAGGATTTTACAGGTTGGTCTTTTCCCCCACGTTCATTGCTCCCTAGTTGAGTGTCCCATGAGGACGTGCGAAACAGCATGCAGTCATCTTGACCCTGGGGTCAAGCCTGCTCTGCCACAGAGCTGGAGGGTGACCTTGGGCCTCCATTTGTCCATCTATAAAATGAAAGGAATGACCTGGACGAAATTCTAAAGTGTCCAGCTCTAACAGCCGACGGTTCAAAATGTGACCGTGTCCTCATTCCACTTTACAAGCTTGGAAGGTGTGTTTCGAAATAATTCTTTTTACAGAGAAACATTTCTTTTCCGGCATCAATGAGCTATCTGGTGAATGTAAACCAGTGCGTTTAAAATAATCTTTAGCAAGTTTACCTCTAGAAACAAATGCATTTGGAGTCATGTTCTTGTAAAATTACACCAAAGCGTCAATTCCAAGTGAGACAGGATCCTCCCCATGAGTGTGCCCTGCTCAGTGGACACCCTTGTGAACAGCCCTAAAGTAAGTCACCATTTGCCCCCAAAAAGCCATAGTGTGGGTTGAAAAAAGAACAAAGGAGTATATGCCCGGGCTGGCTTGAATTCTTGAGTGTGTTCAACCGTGTTACACTGTCTTCAAGTTGAAAAGGTTTTTTGGAAAGACCCCATCGTGTCCCTGTGCGGGCCATCTATCCCTTGGCCAAGTCTAATTGTGAACAAAGTGAGACAAAGTGTGTCAAAAATGCTTGAGTTCCTGGGATTTTGTAACAACACACAGCTCTGATCTCACCATTTGTGTATTTCCTTAGTTCTGGCTGATAAAACTCTTGAAGGGTTGTGGCTTATTTTGTTTTCATTTCTTTGGCTTTGTGCAATTTTCTTGTAACTTGTACCGATATTTTCTGTTTACAAGTTCTTTTAAAGGGGAGGGGTAGGGTTCTAAGATCTTGTTGTTGTAGATAAATTTTTTTTCGTGTTGTAGAAAAGCATGGGTTATGCGTTTGACTGAAAAAGGCACTGTATTATTTACCAAAGGGGTATTGTTTTTGCATTTGTTAATAAATGCATTATTTTGGTACTGTAAATTTGGACATAATTTCTGAGTTTATTACTACTGGCATTTTCTTTGTCCTTTTTTTTTTTTTTAAACTGTAAGTGCACGATGCAGGTGCACAGGTCCCAGACCAAACCAGACCACCAGCATGTTCTTATCCAGACCTTGGGAATAGCACGCTGCTCTGTGCGTCTCAGTCCCTCCAGTGTTGGTTTGTTTTTCAATTTCAGCATCCTGCTTTGTTTTACTTTCCAGGCAAGATTTGTTGAGATTCCCACTTGCATTTTAACGAGCTCACCCTTATTTGCCTTTCTTCTTATGTATTTGTGTATTAGATTGTGTGGGAGGTATTCTAGAAGGCATTAATGGTTTGCATTCAAAATGACGTGGTTTGTCCAAATTATTTTCTGTCTTTATTACTGAGGTGGATTAATCTCCTTATTTTTTTCTTGATGATTTGAAATTGTAAAAGTTGTCCAGCTATTGCTTAATAAAATTTTGCAGATCAAAAAAAAAAAAAAATTACTTGTGTGCAGAATCAGGTGTGGGTCTTGAGTCCTCGGAGAATAAATCACAGCTATCCATTGATGTGACCCACCAGCCCCACCAGCCAGTTGTTTCTTCAGTCCCTGGGTTACTGCCAGCTTTAAGTGGACACCATGGGGTCCTTATCATTGTTGCTGTTTTTGAGAGGTCAGAGGCTGTGCTATCTTCTTTTTTTTTTTTTTTTTAATGTTTATTTAATTTGAGAGACAGCACGAGTGGGGGAGGAGCAGAGAGAGAGAGAGAGAGAGAGAGAGAGAGAGGGGATCCTAAGCAG